ATCTTTTTAGAGTGCTCATAATTTCTGAAAGCGGGAGATGAAGGTGGGTATTTGGGTACTTTCTGAAGATCCACACCCATGTGCAAGACATTAAAGCCATCTGCTGGTTTCAATTTAGTAGGTGGTTCTAGAACACAAAAATGTATCTTGGCTCTAGGGTGGTTCTGAATACAAAGAATAAGTAGAGATAGGCTCCAAGAAGAGTGGAGAAGGAGGGAAAGATACAAAGTTTTTCTTATGTAGAGACACTTTCGGCAATTTTCAGAATTCTTGTTCCGGAAAGTGTAGTAAAGAATGACCTCAGGTCTCTGTGAGGACAGAATTGTCCTCTAGGACAGAATTGTTGTTCTGATATCTTTATTGGGCCGGGGTGTGGGGAAGAGTATTAAAACTCTTCTGTAGAAAACACAAATGTTATAAGTATAACATAAACATAGCATGCCAGACTAACCGTGTTTTTATAGTGGCAGCTGGGCAACAGCAACAATCAGGAGGTTGAACCTTACAGACACAACTCAACATCTGCAAACAGGTTCTTTATCCAAGAGGATTTTCTCAGAGTCTGCGATATGTTAATACACTACATACATCTCCAAAAGGGGGCAAAAGAGCAGAACTCGCCTACCTTATGTAATCACAGAATCTATTTTTCCCCAGGGCAGCTCTTGGTACTAGTGTTCGGAATTTGGGGAAACACCACAGTACAAAAGAATATGCAGTGGTTTGTTTCCATTTTATCTAATAACAACAAAAACATACATAAGCTGTAGGAAGACCTTAGCAATACTGTGAAATAGCAGTACAGTGCCAGCCCTGCACTGTTCAATACAGTAGCCAACCCACATGTGGCTCTTGAGCGCCTGAAATGTGGCGAGTCTGACTTGCGATGTGCAGTAAGTGTAAAATATACGCCAGATTTGAGACTCAGTACAAAAAAGGTTAAACATCTCATTAGTAATTGTATATTGATTACATGTTGAGGTGATCATCCTTGGGATACACTGAGTTAAATCCAATAATTACAATTAATTTCATCTTTTTTTTTAACTCTTGTAATGTGGTGACTAGAAAAATCTAAAATTACACGTGACTCACGTTTGCGGCTTTGTTTGTAAAACTCACATCTGCTAGCTTCTACAACTGGCTACTACTAATGGCTCTAACCTGGCAGAAGTTTTAACGAAAATGAATACTTAGGATAGACAAGTGGAAGTGTTAACGAGGGCCCTCATTAATTATGTACTAATTTATTAGAGGGCAGTGAACACACAATGCAGACCCATTCATTAATCAGTGTATGCTTGCATATATCTATTTACCACTTGGATATATCTAAGAGCTGTTGGGTTTTTTTTTTTAAGATTTTATTTTACATATTTGAGAGAGAGGGGGAGAGAGAGAGCATACAAGCAGGGGGAGGGGCAGAGGGAGAGGGAGAAGCAGACTCCCTGCTCAGCAGGGAGCCCCAATACTGGCTAGATCCCAAGGACCCCTGGGATGTCACCTGAGCCGAAGGCAGACACTTAACCAATTGAGCCACTCTGGCACCAGAGCTGTTAGGTTTTACATCATATGTGATACTGACTTTCCCTAAGTCAATCTCTCACTCTCTCTCTCCATCTCTCTCCCCACCCCACACCACCCTACACACACTTTCTTACAGGGGAGACTAAGAAATACCAAAGAGGAAACCAACAGGAAGTGCTCACAAACTGTTTTCAGTCCTCCACACTCAAGCCTCGCCTCGTGTATCTTTTCTCCCTGTCTCCCTTCTTCCTCGATATTGTTCAGGGAGGAGAAAGTCAAGAAAAGGAAGGAGAGCTTGCTCTTTTAGCCATACTACTCACCAATACACCCCTCCAAAAAATAAAATATGATTTGGTTTTTGTGCTAAATGATTTTTCAAATTCAGTTCAGAGGTGAAAGAAGATGCAGGAATTTCTGCAGATAAGGGACTTTGCCACTTGTGGAAGAGTTTAGGTGGAAATGACAAGGTTCCATATTTGAAGGGAATTTTTAAAAATATTTTTTAACTCTAAAGGCATCAGCCATCAGGCCTCAATTCATTAGCACTTTCAATTAAAGAAACAAGGAGAGAGGGCACACCTGGTAGATTTATGATAATGTAGGAGGCTCCGATATGTAATGTAGCATCAACTTTGGTATTTTTCACAACAGTACAAATAAAATGACCAGGTTTCTTTAGGCAGGAGAAGCAGGATAAATGCAGCTGCCATTCTGTTCCCTGTATAGCTGTCTTTGGGGTGAGCTCTCTTGGACCTGTCACCTGACAACACAATGGGCCCAACTCCTGCTGTGGCTGACCTTGGGGTCAGCGCTTCTGTCCAGAGGGGAGTCTGGCCTTATTAAGCCTAGAGCTATTAGCTATGAACTAACATGGATGGAAGAGATAAGGAGAAATCCTGCCCTCCCAGGCAAAAGGAGGTCACATGATTAAGCACACACAGGAAAAAAAATAAACATCAGAATGTACTATTTAAAGACCAAAGGGAGGACAAGAAGTTGCTGAATCATGGGGAGGTTGGTAGGGGTGGGGGTGGAGATCAGAAGACCCAGGAAGCAATAAAACCCACAAGTAAGATGAGGGGTTCTTAGCAGCATGAAAAGTGCATGGGCAACTCACACTTAGATGCTGAGCTCCAGAAAGCTTTTCCCACCCGCCCCTTTGGCTGCCTTTTCATTTGCTTTCCTGGCCAAGTTTATGCCAAGAGAACATGGCCTTGGCAAATCTGAGGCTGGTCATTGAGATATTAATTTGGGACAGTGTTGAATAAACAACCCAGATCCCCCAAGGAAGGCCTTATATGTAATCGAGAATGTATTTCTATTGCTGCATGTCACACAGTTCTGAGGCCTGAATTCTACTGTAGACCAAACTCAACCAAAAATACTTTATTTCCCAGTTCATTTTTGTCCTGCAGAGCTAGCCTGCCAGCTCCTTTTCTCACATTAGTGGCACTATAAATCCTTTGTTTGCAGCAAGCAAAATAAATATTTGCATGAAAAGGAGCTCAGAGCCAAACCAGCCTATTCCTATTTATTAAGCCCCAGAGCCTTCTGAGGCCCAAATACTATGGCCAGGATTGGTTCTAGAATATAAAAAACACACACTTCATTTTTGCCCATCTAGTGATCCAGACCCCAAACACTGCATCCACATAGGGAGATTCCACTTGGCTGAAATGCTTATTTGAGGTCAAACTTGAGCACAGTTTTCTGTGCACATAGTAGATACTTAAAATACAGGTTCCCTTTAAAACATATAAAGGAAAAAAAAAGGAAAAAAAAGGAAAAAAAATAAAAATAAAAATAAAAAAATAAAACATATAAAGGACCTGCATATGACAAAACTCTCTTCTACCCATTGACAACTCTCATGACAATCCTGTGAGGTGGAGCGGGCTCTTTGTATCACTAATGTTTTTCCTTTTATTCATGTGTTTCCTGATCATGGTTATAAATCACAAGCTTACACTAGTTGCACTGAAATTATTGAGATTTACTCTCTATGGAAAAGGAAACAATTTGAGTACTACCTTGATTAAAATCTTAGTGTGTCAAAGAAAGTTAAAGTTCCGTATTGCCATGGAAGAATGCCAACTTAAAATGAACCAACAAAATGATTCAAATTATCAGAAAGTAAATACTATTATTTTAACCATGTAGTCGGTTACTTGAAGAACCACAGGGGTGTATATGCTGAAAACTCTGTCAAATCTCAGTTATTAGGATACAGATGGAGAGAAAAGTATGTGTGGAAGAGAAGGTATGTAATTGTGTTAATGAAACAAATTTGCCGAGTTGTAATATTCTCCAAAACTTCCCATTCTTAAAGTATATTGCAGACTCCCCATTGTGGAGAGATTCTTTCAATCTAACCACAATTTCCACTGTTACCCTTGGGGTTTATAAGTGTTCATGCACACATAGTAACTAACATTAGAGTTATACTAGTGGTAGTGAAAATGCCCTTGTGGCCATCACGGGGCAACCTGCCTAAGCACCTACTCCATAAAGGATGGTACTGCTTAGCAGGGAACAAATTGGTTAATTAGATAGGAAGTGACATGCCATGCTTTATACAGTAATATGTAGGGGTCTTTTCCCCACTTCTTGGAAAAACAAGATAGAAGAGGATCTTCCTAAAGCTACAATTCTACTCTTTCAGGAAAATGGAAACTTACAATATGTTGACATGCTAAACAAGCTTACCCTTGTTTCCAATTTACCAAGGTGTCAGTTCATAAAGACACACTCAAGCATGGCCTTTGCTTGGATTCAACACAGGAAAAGGTTGCCTTTTCATAAGGGTCAGCACAATGTCATAGTTACCCTACTAGACCTTAAAAGGGTGGGCGAGCATGAATGAGTCCAGTTGTTCTGAAGTTCTTAGAAATAAAACTGATATGTTAAACTAGATTATCACTTCTTAGTGCTCTAGGTTTTAGGTTTCCAGAATGAATGATGGAAGGATCAACAAACAAACAGAAGGTACCTTCCAGGGGTACTTTTGTTCACTGCTGTACCTGGATTCTAGTCTAGAATACTAAGTAAATGTACTTGTGAAGTGAAACCCTGGATTTGAATCTTCATTCTGCCCCTTCCTAGCTGTGAGACTTTGGAACAATTATGTAAGTCACCTTGAAGGGTTGTTGGATGATGAAAAAAAGCATGTATTCCATAAAGCCCTGTATATTGGATGCTTATTACCTTCAGCCTATAGAGGCCAAAGGAAATGAATCTAAAACCAGATGCTGAAAAGCAGGGACCACTGTCATTTCAAAAGAAGACTACTCCATAGAAGGCATTTCGCCTTAAGGCTTTCTGAGAAGGCCTAGACTATTCATGGAAGAACTTCTAGAACCCAACTTTGGGAGTCATCCGAAGCCTTTTATGTGGTGTTGCTCCAACCTGAGTATTTTCAAAGATGAACAACTGAGGCCAAGTGTATATATTTATTTCTGAGGATGTGAAAATGAAACAATAAACAAAAAAGGTGCATGCTTTTCCAAATCATTTTGTCCTAGCTTGTTCTGATGAGTGCAAACATAAAGTAAAAAAATATACAAAGGTACCTCTTACCTTTTTCAGCCACAGATTCTTTGAGAATCTTATGAATGCTAGAGAACCTCTTCCCAGAGAAATGAGTGTGCATACATGCACACACATGCCAGGTCACACACAGACACACACATATTTTACGCAACAGTATTCCCAACTCCTCCCAGTTTATCTATAAATCAAGAAGTTAGGAACTACGAACTTAATAAGTGTTTGGGTTTACATGGAGATAGATGTAGATGTAGAATATATATGTATATATTCTACATCTATCACATATATACAAATATTTAATGACTATTTCAATAATTCTTATATCTTGTATGGTACGCAAGTCCCTCCTCACTCTGATATATGAAATTGCCAATGACCCCTTTATGTGTTTACAACAGGGTAGACTTTAATATGGCAACTTGGCTCAGTGGATATTGTAGAGAGTTTCTAGTGGAACCTGTGTCTTGAAGTGTAAGGTGAGCCGCCAAGGAGTTCGCTCATCTCTTAATCTAACAGCATAAACTTTACCAATGTTCTTTTCACTATCGCCAGGTCCCTTTCTCAGCCAGGGTCTGCCTGTCCCAGGGGACACGGTGTTCCATCAAAGGCAGAAACAACATATCTTCGTAGTAGCTACCCTGATCTTTGAGATGAATGATTTTTACCATGAGTGTATTTTACAGTTCATCTAATAGCTCCATAGGGATTACATAAGCATTTCAATATAAATTAACAATAGAGAATACATAGCTCACACTTCAAATTGAGAAAAACATTGGACAGCAATACTTGCTACAGTATTTGCTAGCCTGTGAATTTTACTTTTCTAACTGAGCTTTAGGAAAGAAAAAGGAGCCAGGAAAAGAGATGTAAGGCCTAAAGAAATTCAGAATTTCAGGATTTCAACTAAGTTATGATATGTTTTGGAGCGCCTGGCTGACTCAGCAGGTAGAGTGTATGGCTGTTGATCTTGGGGTTGTGAGTTTGAGCCGCATGTTGGGCATAGAGATTACTTAAAAATGAAAATTGTTTAAAAAAAAAGGTTATGATATGTTTCCTTTAAAGTGCCCAGGGTAATGATAAAATAGAGATCCATTATGCAGATTTCTCCATTCAGTAAAACCCATAAATTTCAATAAGTAAAGACAGAGGACAACCAAGAGTTTCCTTTTTTGTCCTTTCAGCAACCTGACATTTCATCCCTCCCAGCAATTTTCAGCTGGGCAATCACTTTAGTTTTTGACTGTGTTTATTTCTGAATTTAGGGGTGGAGGGCACCCACAGATGGTCAGATTCTCTTTCCAGTTGCAAGGGTACTGGCATTTTATCAACAGAGTCCACATTTCAGTTTTGTTTTATATGCCATAACTGAAAAACGTATTATTTCTCTTTCCCTTTTTCCTCTGAGCTCTAGTTTCACAATAATTCCCTGAAATTTTAAATCTCTCTGGTTTTTGGAAGAGTTGTGGTGTCTTTATTCTGCAGGTTCTCAAACTGTTCTCCCTGAAGTCTGGTATCATGTTGCCTTCCTGCCTTCTCCCTCCCTTCCTTCCTTCGGGGCGGCAATGTTAAGGCTCATGGTTGTGATACCATTGAATGTGGCTTATGTGGAAACTGCCTCGGGTAGGCTCGGGAAATCTCAGGGACTTTCTGCAGGGCCACAGTGGGAGAGGGAACCTTCTAGACAAAGACACTGAAGAGAGGGAATTCGGCTTGATTGGGCTGCAGCAGATCGATCAGAAAGCACACCGTCCCGGAGAAGCCTTCATACAAGCTGTATATACTTTCAAGGACTCGAGAACCGGCCTTGAATTCCTCTGTAAATAAAAACTCAGCAAACCTAAGAAGAAGAAAAAGAAAAAAAAATATGAGCAGTTTTAACATGACTGTTTCCATATTATTGGCCTAGAGTTGCTTATTTCTCCTCTCTGCTAAGTTAAAGTTCTAGCACCAATTTCTTTGCAAAACTGTACAATATTTTAAGAAAGCCTTTTTCTCTGTTAAAAGGAGGATCTGTTACATAATTGTGTATGTTTCACAACAAATTATGTTGACAAGCAAGTTCAACTATTGTCAGAGTTTGCAAAGCAGTTTGGTATTTTCTGTGGCTTTCATTCCTTCTGTCATCTGATAATTAAAACTAAAAAGAGACAGATAAATAACCATATTTTTATTTATTTTGAATAGAAGCAAGCTGATGTATGACTGTTCCTTTAGAAGAGTAAATATGCTATGTTTCTGCAGCCATATCATTTCTGAGCTAGGTTTCATTTATATGTGACAGAGAGCAGAGACTGTGAAAATAAATGGGCAAGATTTTATACAATCTGTGCTTTGGGCAAACAAAGGAATAAGATGAATGGGAAAAGGCAAACAGCATTTTATAATCATGACATCAAATAGCAAATTCAGCTACAAGATAGATTATTTTTAGGACATCTGCCTTAAAAATAAATCACTAGTCTCTGGATTCTCTAAAGATCCTTTTTCTTCTACCTGTATTTGCCACAAATCCTATTCAAATTATTTATAATGAGTAACATTTGTAATAGTTTACAGCTTTGAAAGTGCTGTGACCTGTGTTATCTCTTTACGAACCTCCTCTATTACTTTCTGTCAAAAACACAAATAATCACCAATTCAGAAGCTGGAACTCACAGGTTGGTAAGGCCTGAGAGCTGATACTGCCATAAATTTAGATTATTGGTACTATGTGTGTGTGTGGGAGGGGGGTCCTATGAAGAGTAATTACTTATTTGATCTTTTTAGGGCTCTTGGAATTATCAGTAGTAGCTTAAAATAAGTCAGCAGGAAACATATTGCAATTCTGTTCAGCACCATTTTTCTATCAACTGTTTTCCTGAATATGCAACAATTTTTCAATGGAGTTCAAAATTTTAAACAGTAGAATGATTATGCCCCTTAAGAGTTAATTCAAAACTTTTAATTATGCAATGAAACTTCAAAGTATAGCTTCAAGGAGACAGAACCTTTACAGTGTCATGGATCACTTCGCAGTCTGGACTTCTTCCAGAAAAAAAGTCTTCAAATATAGAAAATAAAATACACAGGATTCCCAAGGAAATTAATTATATCAAGGCACAGCAAAAGTTTTCAAACCAAATTTATGAAGTAATAATATATGGATTTTTTATTAACACATTAAATAACAAGATATAATGGGTCTAATAACTGCAGACATTTCTAAGTAGTGATGAGAGTCAAATATATTTCATAACATCTATAACAAGAGTCATATCTATGACTTCTACTGGCGAGAGTCATAGCTACTGCTAATTCTCCTGTGGCTTATTACTTATGTTCCGAATTGGAGGTAATGCTCCATCTCAGTTTGAGATAATACTTTTCTCAAGTAAATTCACAAACCCTAGATTAAGAAGCCCTGGTAGAGGGATCCCTGGGTGGCGCAGCGGTTTAGCGCTTGCCTTTGGCCCAGGGCGCGATCCTGGAGACCCGGGATCGAATCCCACGTCGGGCTCCCGGTGCATGGAGGCTGCTTCTCCCTCTGCCTATGTCTCTGCCTCTCTCTCTCTGTGTGACTATCAAAAAAAAAAATAAAAATTAAAAAAAAAGAAGCCCTGGTAGAGCAGAAAGAGGAAGGGATCTGGAGCTGAGATACCCAACTCTGATAATTTTATGTTAGATGACCTTTGGCAAATTTGTTAATCTGATTTTAAAATGGTGAAGTTGCAAAATTGGGTCAGATTACCTGTAAAGATTAAAGATACCATATATTAGGCTCTGAGCATATGGCAAGCATTTGATATAGGGCAAATATCATTTTTCACATAAACATAGTGAAAATGTTTGTAAAACAGAGACTACCATTCCACGATACTTTAAAAGAAACCCACAGTTAATTTTGCTTTCTCCTCTGGACCTTTCTTTCCCCCTAATCTTTGACTTATTTAGCACATTACTGAAATTATAGTCTATATAATATTTAGTATCCTCCATTTTTTTTGCCTAAAAATAAACATTTTTGTGCTTTTCAAAATGATTTCTAAATAAATATATAGCAATTTATAAGAGTACCAGTGATGTATGAGAGTAGCGGTTTCATTGTGTTCTGACCCATATAGTGTGTTAGCACATTAAAGTAAAAATGATTGCTCCCAAAATCTATCCAGTGATGTCAAATTCAAACTAACAAATTCATTCTTCTAAAAACTTCTGTCAAAATGGAAGTCAGATAGTAATTCTAGAGCTAAAAAGAGTACAGATACTGAGGACATTACGTATCAAAACCTATTGATTATGACAAAAATTGAACTCCGGAAAATTCATTCATCTGAGAATTTTATTATTATTATTACTATTATTATTATTATTATTATTATAAGAATGATGTAAGATATTCTAATGAAACATTTTTTAACTGTAGGAAATAAAAGAAAGGAAAACTAGAAAATCAAAATAAAGGCAGAAAGTTATGAATTAATAAGCAAAAGAAACACAAAAAGAATCAATAAAGCCAAAAGCTAGTTCCTTGAAAGAATGACATAGACAAAATTCTGGTGTCTGGCCAAAAAAAAAAAAAGCATTAGGAAAGTAAAAGGACATGGGAAATTTAGAATATCATGGAACTATACTGTTAAAGCTTTACATCAAACATTTGAAAATCCATACGAACTAAATGCTTTTATAGAACATATTCACTACCAAAATTAATTCAAGAAGAGGTAGAAACCCTGAATAATTAATGATGGAAGAAACTGAAAGCATTATCAACTATTTTTCTGCAACTATAATTTTCAACCAATGACCAAGTAATGTTTATTACAGGAAGGTACATATTGTTTGACATTACTGTTTTAGGACCCATCAAAATTAGGGAAGATTCCCCAGTTTGGGCCATAGCATAGTTAACTTTGAATTATAATGAAGTAGAAATTTCAGTACACTAAGGCAATGAAATGCAATGCCCCCGAAATATTCAGATATTAGCTGCACGTTTTCAGGCTCTACCTGGAAGTGAAAAATGGAAGCTGCCTGAAGGGCCCTGGACTCCAGAACCTCATAGATAAGACTCTGTAAACTAGGACTGGTCTGCCAAAAAAATATAGTGGTTGTTCTGGCACTTTTTACTAGGCTTTCTAGGGCATGACAATCTCTGATGAAACCTGTTACGAAGGTGGTATCGCATTAGTCTAAATAGAATCCAAAATGACTTTCCTTTGTAGAGAAATGTGGATTTGGGAAGTAAAGGGTCAGGCTGCAGCCAAACAGATTAGGGAGCCATGAATCCAACTGCATTAACAGAATTCCTGAACAGTGAAGCTTCAAACGGAGGATGGGCATATGTTAGTGTTTTTCCTTCAGTGCCTATGGGCAAATATCATAAAGGGTCTTTTATGTTTCTTAACACTGAATATTAGCTAAATTGGCTTGGGAAGACTTTTCTGAGAAAATAGCTTTAGAGTGAAGGTCTGAATGAAGTCAGAGGGCTGGGAGATATATATAGAAAGTGAGCATTACAGATAGGGGGGATACCAAAATTTCAAAGACTGTGAGGTAGGTTGTACCTGGCACCTTAAAAAAATCAAAAGGAAGCCACTGTGGTAGAAAGAACTAGGTGGAAAAGAGTAGAGGATGATCTCACAGAGGTAATGGTAGGCAAGATCCTTATAGCGCCTTTTGTTCAGAGGACAGACCTTGGCTTTTACTCTGAGTCATACGGGAAGCCACTGGATTATCTTGAACAGAGGAGTGTCATAATCCGACATGATACACAGCATAAGAAGCACATTTCAAAGGTCAGGGTGAAGCAAAGAAGTATTCCAATAAAATCAGCATTACTATGGCTCATAATAATGGACATTTTTATGGAGATTCTGAACCAAGCAAGGAGGGAGAGGGGGAAGGAGAGAATATAAAAGAGGAAGGAAGTAACAAAATTATAATTATTTGCAAACATATGTGTCTATTTAGAAAATCCAATGGACTCTAATGAAAATCTAATAGAGACAGTAACAGAGTTCAGAAGGGTAGCCAGATATATCATTATAGCTATCAAAATTGTTTATAAGATACAATGCAGATGTATATGAAAGAAGTGCATGTTAGATTGCTAAACTGCAATAATATGCACATCTTAAAAAGCTTTCATAAATACCAGTAATAAATGGCCTGAAAATATAGTGCAGACCTGGAAACATAAAATGCCTAGGAATAAAATTAACAAGAAACATGCAAGACCTTCTTTGTAAGATCAAAACCTTACCAAATGACATTTCTGAAAACTTAAATAAAGGGAAAATATATCATGTTCCTGTATAGAAAAACAACATTCTAGGGATGTTAATGCTCACTAAACTATAAATTTATTGAAATTCCAATCAAATTGCTGCAGGATTTTTTTAAATCTGAAAATTGATTCTAAAATATAATTGGGAAGATAAATAAGAGAAAATAGCTAAGAAAAACTAGAAAAAATGAATAATAAAATATGGTAAGTCCAGAAACAAACATGCATATTAATTGTTTATGATAAATTTGGCATTTCAAATCATTGGGGTAACTGGTCAATAGATACTACTGGAAAGTTTTGTTTCATCATTAAAAAACACAAAGATAGATATCCAGATAGCACTGTTATCAAAAGTTCTATTTTTTTAAAGATTGTATTTATTTATTCACAGAGACAGGCAGAGACACAGGCAAAGGGAGAAGCAGGCTCCCTGCAGGGAGCCCCATGTGGGACTCCATCCCAGGACCCCAGGATCATGACCCGAGCCAAAGGCAGACCCTCAACCACTGAGCCACCCAGGTGCCCCTAAAAAAGTAAATTCTAGATTAGTCAAAGATTTGAAAGTTAAGATAGCTTTTAAATGGGTGAAGGAGGCATAAATTTATTTTTTTAGGTTAAAATAAAATCACAAAGGTACTAAAAGACAATGTAAATTAATATTTTTATAATCTTGGAGTGGGAAAGGTATTTTTAAGCATAACACAAAATCCAGAAATCTTGAAAGTTTGACAAGAAAAACACTTAAAACTTTGGTCTGGCGGGTAGCCTGGGTGGCTCAGGGGTTTAGCACCACCTTCAGCCCAGGGTGTGATCCTGGAGACCCGGGATCAAGTCCCATGTCAGGCTCCCTGCATGGAGCCTGTTTCTCCTTCTGCCTGTGTCTCTGCCTCTCTCTCTCTCTCTCTCTCTCTCTCTCTCTCTCTCTCTCTCTTTCTCTCTCTCTCTGTGTGTGTATGTGTGTGTCTCTCATGAATAAATAAATAAAATATTAAAAAAAACACTTTGGTCTGGCAAAAGACTACCAGCTAAATTGAAGGACAAATGGCAAAGTAGGAAAATATTTACAGCATATATTGTAACAAAGAGTTACAATTCTCAAGACAAGCACCACATTAGGATTAAAAATGGGCAAAAGATAAAGACAGGCTAGAAATACCCATGGGTCTAATGACTTCAATTCTAAAATTTCTGTGACAAGAATGCTTGCATGAGGGCATAGAAATGTATGTACTGGATATCTGGGACAATTTTTCTTGTTATTCGTAAAGACCACATAGGTATCAAGTATCCATTACTTAAAGACTAGTGAAATTAATTATGGTACATCTATAATGAATAACTATATAGCCATTTTAATAATGAGATAGATCTATACAAACTGAAATGAAGGTTGTCCCTTAAAAACTGTTCATTTAGGGATCCCTGGGTGGCGCAGCGGTTTGGCGCCTGCCTTTGGCCCAGGGCGCGATCCTGGAGACCCGGGATCGAATCCCACGTCGGGCTCCTGATGCATGGAGCCTGCTTCTCCCTCTGCCTGTGTCTCTGCCTCTCTCTCTCTGTGACTATCATAAATAAATAAATAAAAATTAAAAAAAAGAAATTTTTTTAAAAAAACTGTTCATTTAAAATTATAAGCTGTTAATGGCATGTATGATACTGTTATATGTACATAATAGTAGGATCTTATTTATGTGCATGTATATATATGTATATATACACACATAGTTATATATACACAGATATATGAACGTGCATCTATGCATAGAGAAATGTCTGGAATGACAGAACTCTAATTTTTAGTAATAATAATAATGAACACTTACATTGCAGTAATTATGTGTCAGACACTGTTCTAAATGATAGATGAAGACATTGTGCTAAGTGAAATAAGCCGTTAACAAAAAAAAAAAAAAAACACATACTGCATGATAATACTCATATGAGGTATCTACAATAGCCAAACTCATAGAGGCTGGGAATAGAATAGTGGTAGCCAGGCACTGGGGACAGAAGGGAAAATGGAAAGTTGTCGATCAATAGGTATAAAGTTTCAGCTATGCAAGGTGAATGAGTTCTAGAAATCTGCTGTACAACACTGTGCCTACAGCTAACAATATGGTATCATACACTTAAAAATATGTTAAGAGGGGGACACCTGGGTGGCGCAGTCTGTTAAGCATCTGACTCTTGGTTTTGGCTCAGGTCATGATCTCGGGGTTGTGGGATCAAGCCCAACATCGGGCTCCATGCTCAGTATGGAGTCTGCTTGAGATTCTCTCTCCCTCTCCCTCTGCCCCTCCTGCTCGTGCTCTCTCTCTCTAAAATAAATGAGTAAATCTTTAAAGAAAACATGTAAAGAAGACGGATGTAATGTGAAACATTCTTACCAAAATAAAAGATAATCTCAAACTCCAATAAAAAATATATACTAAAAAATTAATAGGAAAATCAGAATGTATGATTAATATAATAACAATAAATCACACTCAACACTAAAAAAATTTAAAAATTAAAATAAAAGACAATCTCAATTATACATACCTTTGGCCCAGCAATTATACTTCTAGGTCTTTATCTTTCAGATATACCCATACATGTGCAAAATGGTACATGTGCAAGGTTATTCATGATAGCATTATTCATAATGCAAAATACTGGCAAAAATGCACATATCCTTTTACACGGGACCTAGTAACTAAACTCTGGTTCATTCATACAATGTAAAACTATGCAACAATAAAAATGAGGAGTTGCTTATGTGCTGATTTAGGGTAATCATTAAGATAGCAAGGTGCTACACCACTTGTATAAAAAAAGAGGGAGGAAACTTTATATATAGTACATTTGCTTATATATATACACAGAGTATCTCCAAGTTAACTAAGAAACTGTGAACGCTGATCGTCACCTGAGAAGAGAACCCAATTGCTAGAGTACACAGCTGATGTATGTCTTTTTTCACTTTTCCAGCTATGTGACTCTTACCTGTTCAGAACATGAATTTGATTAACGTTTAGAAAAAAATACATGCAAAGATCAGCTGACCTTTGGGCTCGGTAGATGTATTTAGAGTTTCCCGTGAGCCGGTAGAGCAGCAGGAAAACATAGGCACTGCCAGCTACACCGTGGCAAATCCCTGGTCCTTTCTTTAGCAGACCTTTTTGCCATGTCAGTTCCCCACACCGGATACACGTGTCAAGGTACTGTGGTTTTTTGGAAACCAGATAAGCTTTGGCAAACAGATAGGCAATTCCTGTGGAAACATCAAAGACATCACTGACCCCTGCAGAAAGAGCAACAAGTATAGAGTGATATAATCCATAATTCACAAATGGGTTAATATTTAATGGTGCATGCTCTGGTAAGCCTTATGCATATCTGGCTATTTGAAATGACTACGTGTTTATACAGTCTGCCCATTCCCCAACGGAGGTTCCGAATTTGTAATGTTAAAGTGCTTATACCAATACACCTTTTCTTAAGGCAAAACTGGGAGTCCTTCCAGAAACAACAAGGATCCCAGAGGACCTGGCCAAGATTTCTACTCCAGCTGTGAAGTGAGTCCTTCCCTACTTGATTGTTCCAAAGGAAGACATTTGCCTTCAAAACTCCTCCACAGAGGCAATCTCCATTACACAGCCAAGAACAGAAACAAGAGAAGCGACAGCTATTAATAAAAACAATTTCCCCCAAGTTCCAGGGGCTCCTATTCTGGGAGGAGATTAGTAACACAAGATCCTTCTCCTGCATTGTCTCCACCTCTCTCCTAAAGTGGGGAAGACTGGAATTTAGTAGGTATCTCGACTACCTCATTCATCAGAGTTATCTGTGCCTTTCATTATCTTTTGACCAGGCTATTTTACAACTCTGGGGGGACAGAAAGTACCTTGTGAACAACTGATAGTAATGCAAATAATTCCTATTCCTAGAAAACCACATTCTGTCTGGTAGAGGTTGGATTGATTTCCCTCAGCCTTTGTGGAAGCAGCCAGTTTTGCTTTTTTTAAAAAAAAAAAGATTTTATTTATTTATTCATGAGAGACACACACAGAGAGAGAGGCAGAGACACAGGTAGAGGGAGAAGCAGGCTCCATGCAGGGAGCCTGACATGGGACTTGATCCCAGGTCTCCAGGATCACACACTGGGCTGAAGGCAGCGCTAAACCGCTGAGCCACCCAGGCTGCCCAGTTTTGCATTTTTTAAGCAAATCCTTGTCAGCATTCCTAATGGCCCATAAACATGTCAGCTCCTAGGATTTTCCTTTGAAACTAGTTGTAGTACCTTTCTGGTTCCCTCGTTAATTAATGAACTAAGTAAAATTGTTGACATATGTTTATTTTATATTTGTATGAGTCATGATTTTATTCTTTTAGAATTCATCCTCTAACACTTCCTATGATTAATACATAACAACAGACTCTCCTCAGCCAAGGCTTTCCAGTCAACTACTGACAATGGTTGCCTACAGCACACTGTCCTTCCGTTCTAGGAACAAAGTATCTCCCACAAGCTAAAAGATGATTTTAAAAGAATTGAACTTATTACACATTGATTCATTCATGTATCCATACATTTGTAAGTGGTCATTGATTACTGTATACATAGCCCTAGGCAGGGCTTGCTTCATGGGCACGTGACCTGTACAATCGTCTTCAAGGGCCTCCAGAAGGACTTCATGCTGGGTTTAATACTCTGCTGTTACCATCTTGAAATGAATGATCCATTTCTTAAAGAAGGCTGCATTTTCACCTTGTGCTGGGCCCCCCAAATGATGTAGCCAGCCCTGGCCTTGGGTTATACAAAACAGATGCTAAACAAAATTTTTGACCTTCAGGAAAGTACTGTCTAGAAAGAGAGAGAAAAATTTGTCCATGTGACTAATACATAATAGGACATGTAGTTCATGATGCTGTTGGAACATAAAATGAATGATGCTGTCAATAACACTAGAGGGATCAAAAAAGTGGAAGTTCCCTAAGGGAGAGAGTTGGGTGAGGCCTAGAAGTAGGGCTTTCTTCAGGACTTTGTAGGATGCGTAGGAAACTCTAGGCCCAACATGAGTTAGAGACAGCATTTCGAGGCATCAAGATCAATAAGGGCAAAGATTTGGAGGCAGGACAAACAATCCACATGAAGACCACAGGTATAGTGTTCTAACCAACAGGACAGGGAGATAGAAAGTTAGATTGGGTTCATGTTATGGATGGTTTTACAAGTCCAGTTAGGCAGCATAGACTGTGTTCTGTGGGCCATAGGGAACCAGTGGGAGGGATTTTGTTGTGGATTGGTTGGTTTTTATTTTTAATGGTGTGATTAGTATTATAGACACAATGTCCCACAGTGGTGTCAAGAGAGTACAATGGGGTAGCTATGAGCTGATCATGTTGGCAGAAAGATGGCAGAGAGGTTAATAAAAGGCTCAGAAGAGGGGTACCTGAGTGGTTCAGTGGTTGAGTGTCTGGCTTTGGCTCTAATCATGATCCAGGGGTCCTGGGATCGAGTCTTGCACCAGGCTCCCCAGTGGGAGCCTGCTTCTCCCTCTGCCTATGTCTCTGCCTCTCTCTGTATGTCTCTCATGAATACATAAATTAAACCTTTAAAAAAAAGGATTCAAAGGATTTAGTGGTTGTTTAAGTATCAACTGAGCATCTACTATATACCAGGTACAGCAATAGGTGCTAAGGTTTTAAAAAGCCTCTCCCTTCATGGTGTTTACAACCTAACTGGAGGCATTAATTAGGTTACATGAGGGAAATAGAGCTGTCATGGAAGCACACAGGAAGGCTCCTGACCCACACCTAGAGGCAGGAAAGGCCTACTAGGGGGAGTGACACTATCTAGCCTGACTACCAAAGATGAGGAAGAAATAGCCAAGTGAACTGGGAGCCCTTGGTGCTCTGCTGGATTGCTTTTACCTTACAGGCAGGTGCTACATCTCTCAGTTGCTATGAGTTGGCTGCTAAGAAAGCTCATGGCTCCCTCTTCTTGGGACATTTGCACTCAGCCAAATGAGAGGAGATTTCAGCCAGTGACTAGCTGACACAGGGATCCCAAAGGTCAGCTCCGTGCCTCAAGATGGACCAACTCTGTGGTGTAATCTATGCCTCTCAGCTTCTACTCAGAAGCCAGGTGAAGCTGGCCTCCATGGAGACACAAAAAGCCCTTTGTGTCTCAGCTCCTACTCTGTTCTGCTGACATCTCCTCCATTACCTACTTGAAGCTTTTCACTTCAGTAAAACCAAACCACCTGCAGTTCCCCTTCCTCCACTCTGGTTCCAAGCCTCTGAGTGACTTTTCTTGGCACAATCTTCCCAACTTTCTTGGCCGGGCCAACTCACCTCAGGTATTTCTGCCCTCCAGGAAGCCTTTCCTAAACCTGGAGGGGCACCCGGAAGCCCTCTTCTGAGTCCTCATCATTCCCTTTACAAACCTTAGCACTTACAGGATATCATATTAAAATTGTGTTTCTGTGTCTGCCTTTCCTAGGATCGTGCAAACTACCCATGGACAGGAACTCTATCTTGCTCATTTTTGCTCCCCTAGTCTATGGCATGGTGTTTGACATGGCAAAGGCTCCACAAACATCTGCTGACTTTATAATGTCTCATTTCTCACCCCAGCACAGGCTGACACTGAAGCAGAAATGAGATGTGGAAGCAGGAAGGGGTGATATGGTCCACTAACTGTGCCAGGTCATTAGCCAAAGGCAGTTTAATAGCTATTGATCCTATGGTTCGACCAGAGCAGAGGGTCTCTTCCTGCAGCCTGGATCACAGAACAGTACATGGAAGGGACCTTGAAAGACTTCTAAACCTGTTGTCTTCTAACCTGACCTACTGAAATCCACAATAAGGCTGCTTAATCTAAAAGAAAGGAATGTTGGATTTCTTTGCTTTTGATAAGAACCGTGTCATTTTTGTCACCGGAACACTAATTATCGTGCACCGATAAGAAACTTAAGTCAGCAACAATATATGTGTTTACCAAACACAACTGGAGGGAAAATTGTTACTTAAGAAATATGGTTTAAGAAGCTAGACCTGCGAAAGCACACAATCTAGCAGAGCCTCACAATAGCTAGACTTGGCACGCATGGTTTTAACATACTGGAGCAATCACCACGCAGTTCTCTTCTGCAGTCTGTAATTTCACTGAGGCATGCATTGTACGGTACACAACAAAGCTTAGTGACCAACGACACCTGCACCGGACAAGCCCTCGTTCTCTATTCAAAGTCATATACCCAGGAGCCCTTGAGAAAGGATTTTAAAAAACAGCCACACCTGTGTTTCACACAGAGGAAAGGAAATGCACTGTCAGTGTTACCACAGTAATGATGTAACATAATGCAATCTAGAGTTTATTTTAGACACGGCATTTGTTTTAATGATTTTGTAAATGACTCTCATCCTGTATTTCAGAATCATTAAGGTTATGAAGAGGTCATATGCATCTGCCTGCTATACTTCATTGCATTTAGTGAGAAAACCTATATGCCACACTGCCTATTTCTAAATGTGGGTGCCTGCAGATCTCTTGGGACATATCCCTAGGGAAGGGCAAGGATCCACAGGATAAAGGGGATCTGTGGTGATAAAAAGACTGACTTTCATTTCTCCATCTCAACATACTCATTTCACAGATGAAGAAACAAAGCCATGAAAGGCACAAAGCAGTTTTCTCAAGGTCATTTAGTGGTTAGTGTTGGAGCTACAATTAGAACCCAAAGTTATTAACTTCGAGGCCAGAACTATTTCCACACTGCCTGAAAGATAACTACAGCTGTCTGTCACCTACAGAGGTGTGCTAAAGGACAGTCGATAGGAAGCAATTATAGGGAGAGATAAGGTATCCTTGATGAAGGTCCACATTTGGATTATCTCTGGCAGGTTTTTATTCACAGAATCAGTCTGCTGCCCCAAACCATCTGCTCTGTTCACAAATCCATTCTCAAAAAATATTTTCCTCAAACAAGTGAAAATGATTTTTCTAAGTCATCTTTTTTTTAGAATTTTGGGAGAGTTTACTGTTGCCGACTTGATGGTCTTTAACCTGTACTTATCAGATTTATAATCACTCTTATGCTGTATTTAGCATATCTCATATAAAAGGAAGACTGGTACCCTTGAGGTGGGAGTGCAGGTTGGCATAAATAATAGGCCCTATTTGGTTCTTTGTTCATTTGTGAATTGGTTTATTTTTGGTAGTTCAGGGACTACATGGGTTAAATGATTTTGCTCTGCAACCTATGTTTAATCTTACCAAGGTAGAGAACATGAATGAGATACAAGGACAAATAAAGTCCCCAAGGTGATAAATCCTATGTTATATTGTTATGGTACATGATTTACAAAGACACAAGGAATGTGATGTACAAAGAGGATGGAAAAATTGCCCTGCAAGACACCCCCATTAATTAACTGACGGAGTCACTCATTTTAATGGATTATCTTCCCATCCTTTGCAAGGCTTTTAGTAGCACATTGAGTCCCTTTAAAACACTTGGTATTTAACTTGGGATACCTCCAAAATTCAAGGATTCTGGGGGTGCTTGGGGGATATACAGAGACTATCAATGAAAATGATTAAAGGGAAATGGGATTTGGGAGTGCTGAGCGTAACATGAAGAACTATCATTTCCAGAGTGGTAAATAACTTGTTTTTCTCCAAAAAGTTCAAAGCAAGAAGAAATGGGCTCAAATTATCACCAGCAGGAATTAGGTTGGACACAATGCCCTGGCACTGGTATAAGCACACACAGGAGCCTTTGAAGTCCCTTCCTTAGGTAAAATGTGGCAGGCAGAGAAAATACGGCCAATGAGCTAAAATGTATGTTATTCTTCAACTCAAACTGTACCAAAGAAAAACTGAAATTGCAGCTGGATTATAGAACATTAATTAGATAAGGAGGGGAAAGGAAGTAATGAAAATCAGGTCGCAAACTAAAGAAGAATCGAATATATTTTAAAGCTCTGCTCATGGCACTGAAGCATAGCCTTGAAAATTAAATCCACTCCTAATCCAAAATTTTTGTTATTTTGGTATTTTATCTCTCTCCCCTGGCCAATAAACTGAAATTAATTGATTTATTTGAATTTAGCTTCTTTCAAATTGCTCCTTCTCAGAAGGCCTAATTAACAGTGTGATGGGATAAAAAAAAAGAAAGAAAGAAAGAAAGAAAGAAAGAAAGAAAGAAAGAAAGAAAGAAAATGATGGAGTCTGATAGAGTTTCTAGGCTCAATTCCAGAGAGTACACTGCAGGTGTCTTCTCAGTTCTCTAGACTTTTTATTAGGTGATGATGGAAATCCTCATTTGAAGAATTATGTAATAGTGCATCTCAAACCTTAAAGTGCATATAAATCACGTGGGAATCTTGTTAACTGATTCTGATTCAGTGCATCTGGGATAGGGCCTGATATTCTGCATTTCTACGCAGCTCCCATACAGCCCATGCCACTTGTCCAGGGACCATATTTTGAATTACCAGCCTCCAGATCTACATTGTTCAATGCAGCCACTGAGCACTTGCCCTGTGGCTAATCTGAGCTGAGATGGGGTATTAACATAAAATATACACTGGCTTTCAAAGACTCTACTATGAAAAACATATGAAACAGCTCAGGTTTTAAATTGGTTGCATGTTGAAATAATACTTGGGGCATGCTGGGTTATAAAAAACATATTATTAAGATTTATTTTACCTGTTTCTGTTTACATTTTTAATGGGGCTACTAAAAACTTGATTTTATATGTGGCTTATATTTTATTGGACAGTGCTAGTTTAATTTATATACAAATAGATATAGGTCATATATTTTTAAAACTACAGGATCATTTCTGAAGATCCTTTGCAGATCAAGACTTTTTTTTAGCTTTGACAAGTTTCATCTTGACTTTTGTATCTCATAAAGTAATGACATAAGGTGAAAAATACTCTCACTCCTCAGAAAAGACACCTCTCTTTGGCTAAGCCCAGTGAAAGGCAATGTTTTCAGATAATAATGTGGGTGAGACCTGGGGCGCCATGGCACCAGTGCACCAGCTCGTTCTCTCTCTCGATGGCCTCGCCGAGCTCAGGTGGCCAGTTGCAGTTCTGTTCCTGCTCCATGAGGAAGTCCACACTCTGCCATACCAGCTCCTGATCTGAGGGCTTGAGGTGCTCATGGTAAGAAAGAAGCATCTGGAGAATGGACGACAGGCCGTGAGCTGCTCCTATATCAACAAACAAAGCATAATTAGTTCACACGATTGGAAGGACAGCTCATTTAATTTAGTGAAAAAACAATCATAGTATAAAAAATGAATGGCAATATTACTTGAAAGCAGACACAGAAATATGATAATAAAGTTGCCCAAGATCTAGACTTCTGGGGGACATATGTTAGAACAGGGATCAGTATACTATGGCCTGCGGGTCAAATCTGACTCACTGCCTGTTTTTTGTAAATAGAGTTTTATTGAAATAGAGCCACATTCATTCAAGTGTTGTCTATAGCTGCTACAGCTATAGCTATAGACAGCAGCTTTTGTGCTACAATGGCTGAGCTGTATTTGTGACAAAGACCTTATAGCCCACAAAGCCTAAAATATTATCTATCCCTTTATGGAAAAAAAATTAGCGACAACCCCTGTTTTAGGCAAAGATTTTTTTGACTTTGTAATTTATCAATAGCTTTTACTGTTCTAGGTGCTGAAGATAGACGAATGAACAAACTAAATCCTTTCTTCTCTAAAGTTAAACACTAATAATTGGTATTAATTCCTTAATCTTGCACAGTTAGCACTGTGTACTGGGCATTGTCTACACCTTGAGGATACACAGATGCATGTGACTTCGTTTATGCTCTTGAAGACCTCCCCATCCAGTATAGTGAGAAAGTCAGACTTGTAAATAAATAATCAGAATATGAAACGATAAATGCTATTATTGGAGATGTGTACCAGCAGCTAAAAGAGAACCAAGGAAGGAGTGCAAGAAGTGCTCGAGGTTCAAAACAGGTAGTATCACCTGAGCAAAGTCTTCCTAGGTGTTCCAGCATAGGGTACTGTACTAACAAAGGCCTGAGCCTGCTTTTGGAGAAGGAGCTAGCTTAACAAAGGTAAAAAAAAGTCAGCCTAGCCCTCTAGAAGTTTTCACTCATTCCTAATGAGTAGAGAAAGTTGACTGGTGGGTGGTGCTGGGGTCAAGATATTCTGAAAACTTCTCCTTTAAACTCAACTCCATAACAGTTAAGCTTTATCTTTGCACTCAGGCCACCCAGAAATGGCCTTACAGTTTTATTCAGTCAAAAAGGATTCTTCTGGGGTGCCTGGGTAGCTCAGTTGACTAAGTGTCCGACTCTCGGTTTCGGCTCAGGTCGTGATCTCAGGGTCCTGAGATCAAGCCCTGAGATGGGCTCTGCATTCAGCAGGGAGTCTGCCTGAGATTTTCTCTCCCCTCTCCCGCTGCCCCTCCCCCCACTCGCCCTCACTGTCTCTCTCAAATACATAAAATCTTTTAAAAACCAAGTCTTCCTAAAATTTAGTCATAACACTTGAAGTTACCTTTCTTTCACTGGATTTTAATTTGTTAGGTAAAAAAGCTTTCCAGGAAAATATTTATGCAGTAGATAGCAATCTGGTTTGTGCTATACATGCAAATGTCTAGAATGTTAATTTCTCTAAGAAGATGGAAAAAAATGAAAGGAATAGTTCTCTTCAGGAACTCTAGCAGACACTGCCCATGCCCTGCCCATCACCTTGCCCACACTCACCATTCTGGTGCACCTCTCCTACCTTCTACCTCAAGCATCTCTCATTCTGCTTGAGGCTTTCTCTAGCCACAGGGATATGCCCAGCCCACAGGTCCAAGACTAAAGTCCTTGGGAATTAACAGGTCTGGGAGCAGCCCTTGACCCATGAAGCAAGGAGTTGATGGATGAATATCCCAGCTACCTCACCATTTGGGTGGGACAATTCTGAGACATGTTCTAGATGGTCTTCAGGGTCCCCAGTGGAACCAAGCCTCAGCTATCCACAGTTGCTCACTATTACATCCTCTATTAACCTTTTTATCTACTCTGTCTCACTTCCTCATTCCTCTATCAACACTTTCTAGGACCATCTCCCAAATACACCATTTATACTCAAGTCTTTGTCTCAAGGTCTGATTCTAGAGAAATTCAGATAGGAACTTAAAGATTCCTTGAGAAATCTCTCAGAGAACTACTAGTTCACTGCTGAAGTTGGGTACCTTCATTATGTACAGGCTCTTGGTAAATTTCTAGGGATCACAAAGATAAGTGAGCAAAAGCCCTCATCCTGAAGGTGCACAAAGCCTGCTGACGTGGCTGGACAGGCAAGCCACTAATTACAATGTGACATGATAAGGGCTCCAATAAAAGTATGGCAAGGTGACCTGACACTAACCAATTTTGCTTTAGGGTAAAACCTGAAAGATGTGAATGTTTCTCCAGAGAGGATTCAATAAACTCTTTTTCCAAAAACACAAAGTTTCTCAGTAGCTCTGATGCTGTTTGATCAGTCTTGAAGTCTAGGTGTACATATTACAGATAGTTGAAGGGACTAAGGGAGGCCAGGCATTCTAGGCAAGAGGAACGGGCACAAAGATTTTGAAGACATGAGAGCACTTTGCTTGTAGGACATTATACAGGACAGAGTCAGAAAAGGGAGAAAGAGAAAGCTTGAGTTTGGAGAAGGGAGCAGGTGATCTCCAAAGGGCCTTGCATGACTCATGCTTGGGAGTTTGGGGAGCCACTGAAAGATTAAAAAAGAAAGTAACTAATTATCACTTTACATGCCTCATATCACAAAAGTAGCCATTATGACTCAGTAGTCTGCTATTAATCCACAAATATTAAACACTTGAAAATGTTAGTGGCTTCATCCTGTTTCCCTCTGCAGAGACACCACTGGCAACCAGTGTGTAAACAGTTGGCCAACTTTTGGTGGAATTCAGCCAATGAACTCACCATCTAGAATAAGGATTTTGGTCTCTAGTGCAAGCAATCATTAAAATAGCTACCTTTCTGTTAGACTATGAGAACAAACATTAAATTGTGATTTGTAGCATCTATCAATATTTGTTTTTATTTTATTTTTTAAAAGATTTTATTTGAGAGCAAGGGTAAGTGAGAGAGAGAGAGAGAGAGAGAGAGAGACAGAGGGAGGAAGAGAGAGAAACAGAGCATGAGTGGGGCAGGGGAGGGAGAGGGAGAGGCAGACTCCCCATTGAGCAGAGAGCCACATGTGGGGCTTGATCCTAGGACCCCGGAATCATGACCTGAGACAAAGCAGATGCTTAACCAACTGAGCCACCCAGGCGCCCCCAATATTTGTTCTTAAATGGCATTTTAAAGTGTTCATAGTCAAATGGTGATGACCTATATCATAAAACAAAACCTTCTAGTTTTTAGTCCATGAGGATCTTAGAGACTTTCTTCTTCCTGCAGGCCTTTGCCAACACTTACACTCACCCAAGTATTCAGTTCCATAGTAAGAATACATCAGAGGGAATGGTTTTCTCTTTTTCATGGCATACTGCTTCCCAGAGTCCAGAATCGCCTGGCAAATTGATTTGATCTGTGCTGGGGTCAGCACCTGAGGAAGGAAATCAAGAAGAATCAATCAAGAAGCAGCAGAAGTCAAATCAGGATCTTTTTTTCACGGACACTGGGTTTTCTCCTTAAAGACCATCAGCATATTCCCCAGATTCTTTTCCTCTATGTAAATAAGCTTAGCCAGCAGTAACTTTTTAACACCCGATTCTCTCTTTGTTGTCAAGTTTATCCACCCTCTTCAGAAAATCTGCTGTGTTGATGGGAAATACACACTTTTATCACTGTAGGCTTTTCTAAAACGCAAAGCCCACTTTAGAGTGGTTATATCATTAATCCTTGTCAAAGGAACAAGAAATTGCACAGAAAAGAACAAAGACCAGGCCTAACGGATTATCCTTAACAAAGCTGTCACTCTCAGTGTGCCACGCAGGCCTGGCCCAGACAGTGGGCCTTCGGTTTGTGTCGTTCAGGCTATGCTTGTAAAGCCACAGTTTTGGACAAGCTGCTGCATGGCAGGAACTCTCTGTAGCCTTTGCATTCCCAGACCAAGACCAAAGTCCAGTAAGTACTAAAGCAATATCACTTTCAAAATCACAATGACTCTGAATAGAGAATGGCTAAAATGCAATGACGTGCAGCCTTCCACATTTTACTCACTCTACCCACAGTCTGTTTTAGGACTATAGAGATGGAGATGTTCTCAAGCCTACAAAGCATTGTTGAGTTTATTAGGATTCTGCTCAGGTTCAAGAGGTTTTCAGCCCTTCCCCCCACTCTGCCTCTGAGCAGATGAGATGCTCCCAGCTCCATTGGGCTCACTCCTCCTAGGTCACCATGACTCTTTGGGGGAGCATTTACCTTCTGGTGTGTTATGTCTCTGTCTCTGTCTCTCTCTACTAGACGATCAGTTATTGGAGGGCAAAGACTGTGGCATCTCACCTTCTTGGTATCCTCAGTTCTTAACACAGAACCTGACAGGGTCTTTGGGAGTAATTAAGTGCCAGGTTTTTACAGGCATGAGAAGCAGAGCTTTCCCTCTTTCCCTTCCTTCCTTAGTTATTTCTTAAGCCCCTACTGTATGGCAGAAAGGCTGTTCTAGATCCTGGAGGTATGACAAGGAACAAGACCTCTGTTCTTATAAAGCCAACCTTCCAAAAATACAGACCTGCACCAGAAAAGTACTAGTTAGAGTGACTATGGCCACTGCCCAACCCCCCATCTGCTCCTCCAAAAATCACCTGCAGTTCAGCCTCAGCCTGATTAAATGAATCTAAGATCAAGGAAAAGCCAATTGGCAGATGAATGGATAAAGAAGATGTGGTACATATATACAATGGAATATTATTCAGCCATCAGAAAGGACGAATACCCACCATTTGCTTCAACGTGGATGGAACTGGAGGGTATTATGCTGAGTGAAGTAAGTCAATCAGAGAAGGACAATCATCATATGGTTTCATTCATACGAGGAATATAAGAAATACTGAAAGGGATTATAAGGGAAAGGAGGGGAACTGAGTGAGAAAAATTAGAGAGGGTGACAAGCCATGAAAGACTCCTAACTCTGGGAAATGAACAAAGGGTTGTGGAAGGGGAGGTGGGTAGGGGCTTGGTTGGGGTAACTGAGAGATAGGCACTGAGGAAGGCACTTGATGGGATGAGCACTGGGTGTTATACTATATGATGGCAAATCAAACTTCAATAAAAACAAAGCAAAAAAAAAAAAAAAGAAAGGAAAAGTCCATTGGATTTTGGTCTCTCTCCTAAGGCTCACACATCAAATCTTTCTGCCTGATACCTACCATTATACTCACCAATTACTTCTGAAATAAAGTACGAATGATTTTTTTTCTTTCCCGCCCCCCTCTTTTCTTTTTTTCTTTCCTTGCAGGGTTTTGCTCCTCTGATTTACCCAACATGAAAAGGGCAAAATATAATACAGGTTTTGCTCTCCTCAAATCTAGCATTTAATTTAGGAAATTAATTACATAGAGAGGAGTCTGTTTATTAATTATTTCTGCCAATTAACACTTACTGGGCTACTATTCTAGTAAGGCCCTATACTCAGTATTATGGCGGAAATTCTACAAAACCCAGGACATATTTTTTCCCTACATGGAACTTACTATCCAGCACTGGAGATGAGATATAGCCAGTAGTCTACCATAGAGCAATTTAAGTTCCTGAGCCTAAGGGTGGAAAGAAACAGTAATGCAGAGTATATAACAGACAAGGAAGCACTGTTTAGCTTCACTAAGACTTTACTATCCCATTTTCTATCTGGTTGCTCAGAAATAATGATGTCGTGGCTTGCAGCTTCAATTTTCTTTCTATTAGCAATCTATCTTTGTCTGTTGGCTGTACTCCTTTCTGCCTAAAATTCCTGAAGGCTCTATCTTCCCAGGCATTTTCACCATCATTTCAAGGCTCAAACTTGGGTCTTTCCAGAGCTGACCAGCAAATTTCTCCTAAATGATCTCCTGTCCTATATCCACTCAAATTGCTACCCCAAATTTTCATTTGCTATTAAAAACATCTTAAAAAAATAAAAACATCTTACACTGAGTCTTACTCTACTTTATAGCTTCCGTCCCCAGTCTCATATCAACCCCTCCTGACTGGCTTGCTCTCAGAAACCCACTAAGAACCTCGAACGGCATGGATTTAATAGGACTCTAACCTGGTCCCAGCCCACATTTTCCTGGCAATATATCTGGCTCTTCAACTGAACTTAGGTCCTGCCTACCAATACTGGTCTTGAATCCATATGACAGAAACAGTTTTTGTAGATAAGGTCATTGAATTTTCGGGGTATGTATTCATTTGAAGTACTAAAATTCTCCCTATCTTACTTCTATGCTACTAATTTGAAAATCAGCTTATTCTTTCCTCAGTTGAACATTTATTCATGTTCTCTCTCTCTCTTACTTCTATGCTACTACTTTGAAAATCAGTTTATTCTTTCCTCAGTTGAACATTTATTCATGTTCTCTCTCTCTCTGTCTCTGCGTGTGTGTTCATCTGCTTATTTTAAATGCAGGGGAAAAAATCAACTTAGATTACATGTGGTGCCCTCTTCCTTTCTTTCCACCCCTAATCCATGGGTAAATTATTGTATAACAAAACAATTCGCTCAGAATAGAGCACGAGTTTATAAAGTACTTCAAAACCTCCCCGGTCATGCATCATGTCTGGGTGGTTTTCTCTTATCTCTCAGAAACACTGCAAAAAACAAAGAAAAACTGTGCTAGGTTGGCTGGATAAAGACCAGTTATGCATGCAGTTCTTTATCTCTGGGAACAGACAAGACCTACCCTTGGGTTTATTGATCGGCAAATAAAAGTGAAAACACTGCTTATCCAAAGTGTGCAAAGGAGGAATACTGAGGAAGAGTGTGCTCTTCCCCTCTCCCCCCACCCCCGACCCAGCAAAGAGCACAGAAAGAAGACATGTGGCAGGAGGTGCTAGTCCTTTTCTCATCTATTTGCTTTCTCGGGCATCCCTCCATTTCTATGCCAGCACACAGGAATGAGCTTGTGAGCACACTCACTACCTCTGAGTAGATGGCTTCCGCGCTTCTGAGACACTGAGGCCTGGGAATGAGGTAGTTGGCATTTCCAGTGGGGGTGGAGAAAAGTGACTGGGGATGGCAGACAGGAGCTCCCTGTCCATCAGGCCTTTACCAAAACAAACCCAAATTCCCTCTACTATATTTGTAGCATCAAAGGCCTATGTGTGTGTGGATACCTTGGACGGATTTGGTTCTTTAAATAAACTGTTTCCTACATTGAATTAAAATAAATTATGGTATCTCAAAAATACAAAGCAAGTCCGTGGTGGTTTGATTTAAACAGTTTCATTAGTTTAACTGATTCCCTTCACCAAGCCTCAAACAGAGGTGTCTGCGGTGAAATAGTTCCTATTGGGCTGGGCTCTGAGTTTGAAGATATGGGAGAACAGTAAAGCCCATGCTATGTTTCTTGGCCCTACCCGAGGGTTGTGTGGTAACTGAATCAGCTCCATGCCCAGGAGAGAGTTTCATTAAGGAAATGGATGAAATGAACCAAGCCACAGAAGGCTTCCTTCACCACAGTCTTCTTTCCCAGGCAAGTGTCTTGCCCACAGGCCCTCTGAAGTGGCAGTCTTTGCTAGCTATAGGTCAACCACTGCCAATGTGATCATGCAAAAGTCCAAAATGTCCTATGTGGTTGCCCATCTACACAGAATGCAGAAAGCCACTCCTATATCACACCAAACACATATGTAGCAGAGTAGGAATCTGATATTAATTTGTGTTTTCCTCCAGCAATTTATTTGACCCCAATTCTTTGTCTACCACCATATGTGGTAGCATAGGCTTCTGCTCAAAGAAAAGAAACAAGCCATTTGACTCCCAGTGAACATTAAAATGACTTGATGCCCATCAACAATAGGAAAGGGCTTTTGAGCTGGCAGAACCTGGGTACTTTTGAATTGAAAGCTGATACCATAAAGAATAGCCTTGAAGGACATACAGAGTCAGGATAGAATTACAAGATGTTCGAGGTAGGAAGAGTTGACACAGAAAGGAAACCACGAGGTTGAAAATCAGCATGGAATCCCTGTTCTTCTTCCTACACTCCCTTGTGCCAAGCCTTAGGAGAGACCTGATAGTCCCTGGATGGGTTTGGGGATTTATAGGTAGTTAAGATGTGTGCCCCCTGCTCCTCCTGGAATTTGGGGAGATGGTAGCCTCAAAGATGTGTCTCTTGTCTCAGGGTCTGGGGCCAGTAAGAGAGAACACTGCATGGCACATCCCAGCAGAGAGCCAGTGACAATCCTGAGTTTCCCGTGAGCACCATGGTGAAGCAGGAAAAAAATACCATCCCCAAAAGTAAATTTATTTTTAAAAATTCCCAGCACAAATAATTTCTTTTTTTTTTAAGATTTATTTATTCCCGAGAGACACAGAGAAAGAGAGAGGCAGAGACATAGGCAGGGAGAGAAGCAGGCTCCATGCAGGGAGCCTGATGTGGAACTCGATTCCGGGACTCCAGGATC